ACTTAACGTGCCAAGTTAGCAATCTTTCAACGGAAGGACCATTTGGGTTCCAGAAAAATGAAGTTAAAGGACAACTTGGGTGCTTTCATTTGTTAAAGGACGAACTAAGTTTTAAAATGAAAGTTTAAGGACCAAATTGGGTATTAAACCTTTTTTTTTTTAATTCGAAGTCAGCATTCTAATAAACTCTGATCCATTAAAGACTGTTCACATACATACGAAAAAAAAATGTATATTGAGATATCAGCCCACCATTATAGATCAGAATTGTCCACTTTCCTTACAATATTAGGCCGAAATTTTCAATATGGGCCATTGGGACATTACGTATTTCTGGGTCCATTCTAACCATTTGTGATGCAACATGTGGGCTAGATGTCCAGATTCTTTGAGGTCATGAACTGTCAAATATCTTTGAGGCCCGTAATTCTCTTTTAATTTTTTCCATTTTACGGGAAACAAACAGAGATCAGCAATTATATACTCAAACATGGTATAGTTACAATATTAATGTAAGGTTGTAAGTTTATAAGTTTGACATATTATTAAATATAAATATATATAATTTTACAGTATTAATGGATTGAGTGTCCCGTGGGATTCTATTAAAGTCCAATCAGGTCCCCACTCCCAGTTTTGGTGAAAAGATTTGGAACAAGAAACCAAACCATATATTGAGTAGCTATATATAGCATGCAATAATTTCGGTGGAAGATGGGAGAAGAGATTTCATTTCGATCGCTCCTTAATTTAGCATTGCTGACTGCATGATTCAATACAAGCACGCTATCCATGAATCACGATCAATCCTGTTTGTACTAAAGGGCACGGCCAAAAACATTCTTGAGCATCTTAAAATTTGAAATTGAATTTACGATGATTTGTAAATTCTAGCACATTCGATGAAATTGGAAAGATAATATTTATTGATTAATTAATTAAAAACATGCTAATTCACTAAAGTATTGATTGATCTTGGAGCAAAAAAAAAATATAGATATATATATATATATATCCTTCTCAAATTAAAGCCTAGCTCAGGCTTGCACGCCTCGGTGCGTAATATCACAATTCACGCATCCAAGTGGGCCCCTAATTTGAACCTTGAATCCCCTCCCTTTGCAGGAACTTACAAGCTACGCTTCCTTGGAAACCTTGCCTTTCCCCTGGTGGGCGTCATCCCATTTGATTGTGATTAAAAAAGTCCAAGTGGTTGTTAAAGCAACTGCCTGTGAGTACAATCACCAATCAACACGTTATCCCAACTCAGTTTCTAAGTTTTGATTGGTCAGTGATTTCTTCAAATTGGTCATGAGCCGTTACCGGATGAACATTGAGATAAGACAGGTTTTTAGTGAAATCAGACATGTTCTGTATATCAATAGCCTGTTATGTAACTTTCGGATGTTAAAAGATTAATAAACAAAAAAAGAAAGAAAGAAAGAAGAAGACATGTTCTGTACAGAGAATGACATAAAATGGCAAAGCAAACCATCTACGCGCTCCTGCTTAATGGCGAAAGTCATTGGTTAGTGGGGAATACATCTTGTTGTAGATTGCATTTGGGATCCTCTTTTCTCATTTCTTATATACTAAAATATGTATTAATTATTTTCTTCTTCTTTTTTTTTTTTTTTAAAGCAAACACTTCACTTCAATTGCCTTAAAAAAGGAAGAATAAATAAATAAGGGGCTTTGCTTAATCTTGAAATCAACGTACTCTTTGTTGCTTTAAAATGTAGCTAGGATGTTCAGGCCCAATGGTCAAAATTAGTGGACAAATTAGGGAAGAGAGAATCGAAGGAATAATGGAGGGGCTCTTGGGGCTGAGCCACCTCTTTGCAACAATCTTCCTCTACAACTTCGCCACGTTTATGGTAATTCCGGCCATCACCGACGTCACGATGGCCGCTCTCTGTCCCGGAAAAGACCAGTGCTCTATCGCCATTTACCTCTCCGGATTTCAACAAGCAGTGAGTTAATTAATTACTATCCAGGACTCTCATCTAGTTTCATTTCTTGCTTTTTTTAATTATATTACAAGTATACATACTCATCTCCCCTAGGATTGCTCTAATAAGCTAATTTATGAAGTAATTAATTCCCTGCAAATAGAAAATTAGCTTAAGCTAACATTTTTGTGTGAAATAAGAAAATTTCATCACCGAAGTTATTACCTAGTTTTAGATTTTATGTTTTCATCATGACATGTATAAAAGAAGTGACTTCATATTTAGAGGATAGATTTTTGTTCTGTTTTGTTTCTAATAAATTCAATTTCATGAAATTTTTTTTTAGCAAAATAATTACTAATCAAGTTTAAGGCAGAAGGTTCTAGCATTTTAAGCTTTTTAAAATCATTCAAAGACTAAGCTCTGTTTGTCTAATTTGCATAACGAAATTTCCCTTTGGGTTTCCGTGAAACACTTTTGGCTCTACTCGATTGTATCCAGACAAATTAACACACCACAAAATGCCAACTGCGATGTCAAGCTGGGCCTCACCCCCACAACAGCATTGACCTTTGCCGTTTGGTTTGGCTGTGATACTCTGTTTTTAATTACCCCACCCTTGTTAGCCTTAGCCTTGCCCCCAATTCATCCCCAAGGAAGAACACTACCTTTTTAATTTGGTCAGTACCGCTTCCGCTTTCTCTCTTAAGTCAAGTACACTCACTTTCACCTTTCTCTTTTCCCTGCTCTTGGCTTCTTTAGTTCTTTAAGAGTTTCTCGTCCACTCCAAGAGCCAAGAGGGGCTTCTTTATGCATACACCGTTCCGCCACCCTAGTCAAAGAGGTGTCTTCTTTTGCTTTAATCTGTCTTATTATTAAGATTTAGAGATAGAGAGAGCCTAAAAACACAGGAAAAGAAAACAGAGGCAAGAGAAATGGGAGAGCTATCGTCTCTGAGCCATCTCTATTTCACAGTCTTTTTCCATTGCTTCTCTATATTCATGGTTATTCCACTCATCCCTGATGTTACTATGTCTGCACTTTGCCCCGGAAAATCCCAATGTGCACTAGCAATTTACCTCACCGGATTGCAGCAAGCGGTACTCTCCATCTCTTCCTGCTCTGTTTTCTTAATATATATATATATATATATATATATATGCGCTAATGTTAGTAGCTAGCGTTCTTATTTCTCCATCCAAACACACCCTTTTCTTACAGATGTAGTATTTAGTTATGTTGAAGTTTTGAAGGAAAAATATGATACGGTGGAAGTTCGTTCAGGCAATTTTGCAGGGATTGCAGTTTTTAATTTGTTTGTTGTATATAGACAAGGATCTGTGTTTGTATTGTAAGAAATGAATTCCCCCTCGTTTTCAGGGGAAAGAAAAATAACGTTTTTTTAAGGCTCAAATTAGCAGGAGTGCGTATGTTGACAAAGAGACAAACTGCGAGGACCCACAATCCCATTTCACGTTTCAGAGCAGATGCTGTTTCTGTCTCCTCCGCTTATATTTTCTATGGATATTAAACCGGCACACTTGACACTTGTCTTAATATCTAAATGTAATCATGCATGCATAATTTAAGGTTGATTTGTTCTAATTACTTAATTATTGTTAATTATTTTGAATCAATGATACTTGAGAGAAAAGTCATAATATGAGGAATGATGCATATCTATGCAGATCATAGGGCTGGGGTCGTTTGTCATGATGCCTTTGATGGGTAATCTCTCTGATAAATATGGGAGGAAGGCTTTGCTCACAATACCAATGACTCTCACCATAATTCCTTTAGGTATGTATTCCATTTCATACCTCCATCAAATTAAACTGTTTTTCTCTCT